GATAGAGTACTGCTGGGCACACCCGGCTTTGTGGCTTGGACGATCAGTCCAGTCACTGAGGCCTGCTATAGGCTCTGCCCAGAATCCAGATCTTCCACACACACTTTAAACACCATTGGATCTGCTGGGTCATATGTGGCAGAGCAATTTAGGATGAACCAACTGTGCGGTGGTTCTTGCTCTGGGCTCTACCCATATTTCTCATTGCCAAAAAATAGGCAGAAGCAGATAAATGGTCTAAGACCCATGCAAGTTTATGTTCATGAGTCCCAGAGATGTCAGCCAAATGTTTTGAAAAGGTGCAAAAAGGTGGACAGTAAAACCCAAGTTTGTTTTCTGCACTTACCATCCAGCTATCCAGGTCTCCACATTGGAGGCAACCACTGGTACTAGTTTGTTGTTTATCCTTATTTTAAAGGGCATATTCTGTCTTGTACGGACCATTGGATCACAAGAAACTTCCTGAAATGGCAGGCCCTGTATGTTCATGGGATTTATATCCCACCATCTGGAATACATGCAAAGCACCTGTGTCTTCTTTGTCTCTAGGTTCTGTCAACCTGATAACTTCAATATGGTAGACTAGTGTAATACACCGTGTTCTGAGTTGATAGGAGGTGAAAGTGAACTGCTTTAAGGGAGGTGAAAGTGAACTGCTTTCTCATGTCCTCAGGTTATCCCAATGGAGAAATGCGTTTATTACCAGCTTCGTAACTGCATTCTAGGTGCTGGGGGGGTGGGGGTGGGGGTGGTGGTTACTAGTTTATTCCAGTTAGGATCTACATCTGAAAGTACACCTTGAGTTGGAGTCACCATTTGATTATGTTTATGATAGCCCATATCATTGACTAAAACCAACTGGCCTCCTGGTTGGAGAGGTGGGTTTTGTTTTTTTGTTTGTTTGTTTGGTTTTTTTTGCAGATCACCAGACATCATTTTTTGATAATCCAATCTTTCACTTGGCCATTCCTACTAGAAGAGTATAATGAGGTAGCATCCCTGATCATAGGCAATACCTCATTGACCTGTATTCCCTTCTTGTTCCATGGACTTCTGGTTTCCAATACCCTAATACAAACAGAAGTTTCCCTACTGTTTTCTATGATTTGGCCCAGTAACCAGTTCTAAATTCCTCTTCTTTCTTCAAAGGTTTGTTGCCTGCAGCCCACTATCTAGTTTGTATTAGATGTTATATCAGTATATATGAAACTATCAGTTTGTAGTTGCTTTTTTTTTCTGAAACCACAGAAATCAACAGTGGTTAATTTAAGGGGGAAAAAAAGGATTTTGCAGAAAGCCCCTGGGTAGTGGACAGAATTAAAGAGAGAGCTGAGGGGCACCTGGCTGGCTCAGTGGGTGGAACGTGCAACTCCTGATCTCAGCTCCGGGTTGTGAGTTCAAGCCCCACGATGAGTATAGAGATTACTTAAAAATAAAATCTTTTTTTTTTTTTTTAAGATTTTATTCATCCATTTGACAGAGAGACACAGCGAGAGAGAGAGAGAGAGAGAGAGCTCAAGCAGGGGGAGTGGTAGGCAGAGGGAGAAGTAAGCTCTCTGCTGAGCAAGGAGCCCGATGTGGGACTCAATCCCAGGACCCTGGGATCATGACCTGAGCCGATGGTAGATGCTTAACTGACTGAGCCACCCAGCCACCCCCAAAATAAAATCTTTTAGAAAAAATAGCTGGAAAGCTATACCTTGTTAAGGACATGATGTAGGGTGGCCTTAGGGATCTAGACTGAGAGAGTCTTTGGAATGACTTTGTTCCATCCTTATGTCAGTCTATTCAAGATTCAGATTCCCAGCACAGGGTCTGGTTTGCCTAACCTGAGTCATCATCTCACCTCTTGGCTGATGCTGCAAGGTGCCTTGATTCATAAACTCACCAAGACTTGTGGAATGAAGGAGAGGTTCTTTCTTCAAGGGACGGTGAGGTGTTGTAACCAAAAGAAGGGAGGAGGAATGCTCAACAGGCACAGTCAACAGATGCGCATTCCAGGGTGTTCGGATTAGGTCATCATTTCTCAGTAGAGGTGTCATCGGCCTTTGGGGTAAGACCATTTTTCTTCGTGTGATGCTCTCCCAGTGCATTGCAGTATGTTCAACATCCCTGGCTCCTGGGCACTAAATACCAGCAGCACTCCCACTGCTAAGCATCACAGTCAGGTCTCCTTGTTTCCCAGCCATTACCATCTCCCCCTAGACCGGCTGTGAACAGGCCCTCAGAACCATGGCTACATGATCCCTAAAGCTGTTTCCATTTAAAACAATCAGATGTATTCCTATTGCTAAGCAAAAGGTTGTTTGTAATTTGGCTATAATAAAATAATGTTTTCTGTCTCCTACCAAAAAGGTCTTCAGTTTAGTGTCTCCGAATATCTAAACAGGCCTCATCTAGAACCATATGAACTATGTATGTAATTCATTAATTTGTTTCTTCGGTTTATTTCTTTGTTTAGGGCACAGACTTTAGAGCTAGACTCTGAATCAAATCCCACAACCTGTAGATCTGCTATTTACTAGCAGTTACTTCCTTTGGGCTTTTACATAATCTTACTTTGGGCAATTACATAATCTCTCTGTGCCTCTGTAAAATGAAGATAATGATAATAATACCCATTTCATAGGGTTGCTTAGAGGATTAAATTAGTGTACATAAATCATTTAATATATTGTCAAGAGCATAGTAAGTGTATGTAGGTATAAACTATTACTGTATTTCTAAATGGGATATTAATTAAATTTCACATAGATACACCTTAAAACTTTTTTTTTCAGGCACCTGGGTGACTCAGATGGTTAAGCGTCTGCCTTCGGCTCAGGTCATGATCCCAGGGTCCTGGGATCGAGTCCCACATCGGGCTCCCTGCTTCTTGGGAGCCTGCTTCTCCCTCTGCCTCTCTCTCTCTCTCTCTGTCTCTCATGAATAAATAAATAAAATCTTTAAAAAAAAAAATTTTTTTTTCTGGGGAAGTTACCTTTTAAAAATTAAATTGCTGTATCTGGAAAAGCATTTTGTTATGGCGTTTAGTTTAGAACTATACTTTGAAAAATATGAGTGAATTATTTATTCCTTTATCCAATATTTCTTGTTTGCCAAGCATTTGTTAAATTCTAGGAGACAGGGAATTATATACCAGTGGAAGAAGCAGTAACTAAGCGAGCAAATAATTACATTGACAATAGTTACATTGTCATATGAGACTTCCTGACCAATAAAGTTGTTTTAAAACAAAAAACAAACAAACAAAAAAACAAGACTTAGGGGATGGGATAGGAGTTATGGAGGAATGAGCAGAAAGCAGTGAAGCAGGGAAGGCTTCCATGTGTTGATGGTGAACAGATGAGAGGCCTGGACCGGACAGGTGCACAGCGTAGGAAATGAGAGCAGGTGCCATAGCTAAATTTTTGCAGGACTTCAGAGACTCCAGGAGAAGGAGCTAGGATCTTTTCTACAGGGAGTCTGTAGAAGCTTTTGAAGTTGGGGGCAGGTTTTAAGCAGGAGTGTGCTGGGTGTGATTCTCATTTGGGAAAGTTGTTTTGTGGACTGTAGAGAAAGAATTGGAAAGGGGTGGGGGGAGGGGAGGGCCAGGTAGAAGACTCTAGGGAAAGAAATGGATGGGGATGGGATGGAATGCAGCAGTGGAGTTGGAAAGAAGTGGATAAGTTGAATGAAATCATGCATTTTTATTCTGGAAGTAGAATTGACAGGTGTTGGTGATGGCTTGGATGAGGAGGACAATGAGAGAAAGGGAGGAATCAGGGAGAAGGAATAAAGTTTTGGCTATTAGGTGCCATTTGACAAGATGCATATATTTCTTCTATAATTAAACCTTTTTTTTCCTCATGGTTCCTAAGACCAAGTTTTTAGGACCATTTAAAAATTTCCACCTTCCTGGTCTAGAGTTTTTTGTACTGCAACCAAATTGTATGCTCTCCTTAAATATTTTTATTTTCTTCTTTAGTAATGAAACCCCTGTGTTGATGTTTTTAGCACTTAATTGGGACCATTTTATCTGTTAATTATTGCTGCTGAAAGTTTAAACTCACTCACTGTTTGCAGAGCTGTCTTTTGAAATCAGATAGCTGAGTATCATCCCTGCCCCAAGAAAGTCGGAGACCTTGTAAAAGCCTGCATGGTTAAGAAGCAGCTCTTCCTCCTCTGCACGGTGTGCTTCTATGGGTGAGGATGGCGAGGAGCTGGGGTGGTGGGGGTTCACCTGGGATTTATTTAGCCAGCTCTGCCTGAGGCCCACGCTCACTGCGCCACTCCACGGTTCTTTCTAACATGTACTTCATGTGTGGTAAGTCAAATTTATGGGCTGTGTTCTATCCCTTAGGACTAGTACACCTCCTCAATAATTGCAGTTTTTCATATTTTACTAAAATATGATTTATTCTTGTGAATGAACTGAGATCAAGCATATATACTAGTCTTTAATTAAATCAGTTGCTCAAATCGATGCATGTGGAATGAATTATTTTACTTTTTCCGAAAAGTGAAGAGAAACTGGGAAGAAATTTCAGTAGACAGTAGTGCATAGAGATTTTCTTTAACACCTAAATGAGAAGCCAGAAATGCATATAAAACATGAAAACTTAAAAAAACATTTTTAAAACACAGGCTATTATTAAACACCCATGGGTGTTTTTGATTTCCCATTACATTAAAATACCCAAATGAACTTCAGAACATTTAAAAATAGCTCAATCTTAAAAAGAAGATATAAAGTATTATTAGGTGTATGCTTTTTGTGCATAATTAGCATGTGTCTGTGAAGATATAATGATTTCTAGTGGAATTTTACCCATGATAAAAAGTCAGAAGGTGAATATTGGAGCTATAGCTGGGTGACATGTTTTAAAATAATTCAAAGATGACTCCATAGAAGGCATTCTGTTCTAGTCCCTTATACTCCCCCTTTCACTCATCAGTGGACTATGAAGTCACCAGTAAAAATCCTTTTAAAAATGTTTCATTTTTCCCCTTTTTTCTAGATTTGATGTGTGCTCACTGTTTCCTTCAGTGCTTGGCAGGCCACTGTGAAGGTTCATCACCTTTTCCCTTTTTCCAAGATGGCTCAAGATTCGGTAAGCTTTTCTTCTGATTATCAGTTTTGGCTGCAGAAGCTTTCTGTGTGGGACCAGGCCTCCACTTTGGAAACCCAGCAAGATACCTGCCTTCACCTACCTCGATTTCAGGAGTTCCTGAGACAGATGTATGAAGTTTTGAAAGAGATGGTAAGTGGTGGACCAAAATAATGAATCTCTACTACATTTAACCAAGCCTGAACGTTATCTAGGGTCAGGGACTTGTGGTATTGACCTGATGTCTTGATGGATTAGAAAGACAAATTACCCATAGGTAATACAGACAGGGCAGTTTCCTGACCTTTGATTTCTTATGATTTCAGTCTCCTCGAGTAGTTACATTGTCACATGAGACTTCCTGACCAATAAAGTTGTTTTAAAACAAAAAAGACTTAGGGGCACCTGGCTGGTTCAATCGTTAAACGTCTGCCTTCGGCTCAGGTCATGATCGGAGGGTCCTGGTATCGAGCCCCGCCTCAGGCTCCCTGCTCAGTGGGAAGCCTGCTTCTCCCTCTCTCACTCTCCCCTGCTTGTGTTCCCTCTCTTGCTGTGTCTCTCTCTGTCAAATAAATAAATAAAATCTTAAAAAAAAAACCAAAAAAAAAAAGACTTTGATACTTGTTAGTAATAATTGAGATTCTTTTAAAGTCCTTTTCATCTCTTAAATATTGAAGAGTTTTCCAAAGTGCTTACCCTTTCTTTCTTTCTTTTTTTTTAATAGAGGGAGAAAAGTTAGGGGGAGGGGCAAAGGGAGAGTAGGAGAGAGAATCTTAAGCAGGCTCCATGCCCAGGGTGGAGTCCAACACTGGGCTTGACCTCACAGCCCTGAGATCATGACCTGCACCGAAATCAGGAGTAGGACGCTTAACCAACTGAGCCACCCAGGCACCCCAATGCTTACCCTTTCTTTAATGCTGTTCTAAAGCAGGTTCTACCAAGAAATGATAAATAAGTATCTTCTTTTGAATATCTTAAGTGTCTTTTCTGGTGAATATTAAGATTTTGAGTGTCTTCACTATTGTATAATGTATTTAAAATTTGATATTTTTTTCATTTTGACATTTCTCATTTTTATTGCAATGGATATTTTTATGAGTTAACATGCTTTCATATTATGAAAATATTCTTTGTTTTATACTTACTTTCTAATTCAAAATGAAAGTGAAATTTTCATTTAATATATTATTATTAAATATATTCATTTAATATGGGTGTTCTTGTGTTACATTTTTCTTCCCTTAATCAAAGAAGCAAGTCAGAAATTTAAAGAATTATTTATGTTGACAATATGAGTTCATGTGTTTTTAGCAACTAGGAGGAAAGACAGAGTCTGTATGAGCAACTGATGCTACCTTTTATTTTTATTTATTTTTTAATTTTATTATGTTATGTTAGTCACTATACAATACATCATTAGTTTTTGATGTAGTGATCCACGATCCATTGTTTTTGTATAACACCCAGTGCTCCATTAAGTATGTGCCCTCCTTAATACCCATCACCGGGCTAACCAATCCCCCCTCCTCCCTCCCCTCTAAAACCCTGTTTGTTTCTCAGGTCCATAGTCTCTCATGGTTCATCTCTCCCTCCAACTCCCCCCCAGCCCCACCATTTTTCCCTTCCTTCTCCTAATGTCCTCCATGCTATTCCTTATGTTCCACAAATAAGTGAAACCGTATGATAATTGACTTTCTCTGCTTGACTTATTTCACTTAGCATAATCTCCTCCAGTCCCATCCATGTTGATGTAAAAGTTGGGTATTCATCCTTTCTGATGGCTGAGTAATATTCTATTGTATATATGGACCACATCTTCTCTATCCATTCATCTGTTGAAGGGCATCTCGGCTCTTTCCACAGTTTGGCTATTGTGGACATTGCTGCTATGAACATTGGGGTGCATATGGCCGTTCTTTTCACTACATCTGTGTCTTTGGGGTAAATACCCAGGAGTGCAATTGCTGGGTCATAGGGTAGCTCTGTTTTTAAATTTTTGAGGAACCTCCACACTGTTTTCCAAAGTGGCTGTACCAACTAGCATTCCCACCAACAGTGTAAGAGGGTTCCCCTTTCTCCACAACCTCTCCAACATTTGTTGTTTCTTTCCCTGTCCATTTTTGCCATTCTAACTGGTGTAAGGTGGTATCTCAGTGTGGTTTTGATTTGGATTTCCCTGATGGCTAATGATGATGAACATTTTTTCATGTGCCTGTTAGCCATTTGTATGTCTTCTTCAGAGAAGTGTCTTTTCATATCTTCTGTCCACTTTTTGACTTGATTATTTGTTTTTTGGGTGTTGAGTTTGAGAAGTTCTTTATAGATCTTGGATACCAGCCCTTTATCTGTAGTGTCATTTGCAAATACCTTCTCCCATTCTGTGGGTTGCCTCTTTGTTTTGTTGACTGTTTCCTTTGCTGTGCAGAAGCTTTTTATCTTGATGAAGTCCCAAAAGTTCATTTTTGCTCTTGTTTCACTAGCTTTTGGAGATGTATCTTGAAAGAAGTTGCTGTGGCCGATGTCAAAGAGGTTACTGCCTATGTTCTCCTCTAGGATTTTGATGGATTCCTGTCTCACATTGAGGTCTTTCATCCACTTTGAGTTTATCTTTGTGAATGGTGTTAGAGAATGGTTGAGTTTCATTTTTTTGCATGTGGCTGTCCAATTTTCCCAGCACCATTTATTGAAGAGACTGTCTTTTTTCCATTGCATGTTTTTTTCCTGCTTTGTCAAAGATTATCTGACCATAGAGTTGAGGGTCCATATCTGGGTTCTCTATTCTGTTCCATTGGTCTGTATGTCTGTTTTTGTGCCAATAGCATGCTGTCCTGGTGATCACAGCTTTGTAATATAGCTTGAAATCGGGCAACGTGATGCCCCCAGCTTTGTTTTTCTTTTTCAACATTTCCTTGGTGATTCGGGGTCTTTTCTGATTCCATACAAATTTTAGGATTGTTTGTTCCAGCCCTTTGAAAAATGTCTTTGGAATTTTGATCGGGATGGCATTGAAGGTATAGATTGCTCTGGGTACCATAGATATTTTAACAATGTTTATTCTTCCAATCCATGAGCGTGGAATATTTTTCCATCTTTTTGTGTCTTCTTCAGTTTCTTTCATGAGTGTTTTGTAGTTCCTAGAGTATAGATCCTTTACCTCTTTGGTTAGGTTTAGTCCGAGGTATCTTATGGTTTTTGGTGCTATTGTTAATGGAATCGTTTCTCTACTTTCTCTTTCTACAGTTGCGTTGTTAGTGTATAAGAAAGCAACTGATTTCTGTGCATTGATTTTGTATCCTGCCACATTACTGAATTGCTGGATGTTTGTATTTGTACAATTGTTGTACAATTTCTTGTAATTGCTAGTAATTTGGGGGTGGAGTCTTTTGGGTTTTCCACATAAAGTATCATGTCTTTTGGGCTTTCCACATAAAGTATCATGTCATCTGCGAAAAAAGAGAGTTTGACTTCTTTGCCAATTTGAATACCTTTTGTTTCTTTTTGTTGTCTGATTGCTGTTGCTAGGACTTCTAGTACTATGTTGAACAACAGTGGTGAGAGTGGGCACCCTTGACGTGTTCCTGATCTTAAGGGAAAGGCTCTCAGCTTTTCCCCCTTGAGGATGATATTCACTGTGGGTTTTTCATAGATGGATTTTATGAGCTTGAGGAATGTTCCCTCTATCCGTATACTCTGGAGAGTTTTAATCAGGAAAGGATGTTGTATTTTGTCAAATGCTTTTTCTGCATCAATTGAGAGGACCATATGGTTCTTCTCCCTCCTCTTATTAATGTGTTCTATCACATTGATTGATTTGCGAATGTTGTAACCACCCTTGCATCCCGGGGATAAATCCCACTTGGTCGTGGTGGATGATCCTTTTAATGTATTGTTGGATCCTATTAGCTAGGATTTTGGTGAGGATTTTGGAATCCATATTCATCAGGGATATATATCGGTCTGAAATTCTCCTTTTTGATGGGGTCTTTGCCTGGTTTGGGGATTAAGGTAATGCTGGCCTCATAGAATGAGTTTGGAAGTTTTCCTTCTGTTTCTGTTTTTTGAAACAGCTTCAGTAGAATAGGTATTATTTCTTCTTTGAATGTTTGGTAGAATTCTCCAGGGAATCCATCAGGCCCTGGACTCTTGTTTTTTGGGAGGTTTTTGATCACTGCTTCAATCTCGTTACTGGTTATTGGCCTATTCAGGTTGTCAATTTCTTTCTGTTTCAGTCTTGGCAGCTTATAGGTTTCCAGGAAGTCCTCCATTTCATCCAGATTGCTCAGTTTATTGGCATATAGTTGTTGATAATAATTTCTAATAATTGTTTCTATTTCCTTGGTGTTAGTTGTGATCTCTCTCCTTTCATTCCTAATTTTATTAATTTGGGTCCTTTCTCTTTTCTTTTGGATAAGTCTGGACAGTGGTTTATCGATCTTATTAATTCTTTCAGAGAACCAACTTCTAGTTTCATTGATCTGATGTACTGTGTTTCTGGTTTCTAATTCATTGATTTCTGCTCTAATTATTTCTCTTCTAATGCATGGCTTAGGCATCGTTTGTTGCTTTTTCTCTAGTTCTTTAAGGTGTAGAGTTAGTTGGTGAATTTGGGATTTTTCTATTTTTTTGAGTGAGGCTTGGATGGCTATGTATTTCCCCCTTAGGACCGCCTTTGCAGTATCCCATAGGTTTTGGGCCGATGTGTTTTCGTTCTCATTGATTTCCATGAATTGTTTAAATTCTTCTTTGATTTCTTGGTTGACCCAAACATTCTTGAGCAGAGTGGTCTTTAGCTTCCAAGTGTTTGAATTTCTGCCAAATTTTTTCTTGTGATTGAGTTCCAGTTTTAGAGCATTGTGGTCTGAGAATATGCAGGGAATAATCTCAATCTTTTGGTATCAGTTGAGACCTGATTTGTGACCCAGTATATGGTCTGTTCTGGAGAAAGTTCCATGTGCGCTCGAGAAGAATGAGTATTCTGTTGTTTTAGGGTGGAATGTTCTGTATATATCTATGAGGTCCATCTGGTCCAATGTATCATTCAAAGCTCTTGTTTCCTTGTTGATTTTCTGCTTAGATGATCTGTCCATTGCTGAGAGTGGAGTATTGAGGTCTCCTACAATTAACGTATTGTTATCAATATGACTCTTTATTTTGGTTAACAGTTGGCTTATATAGATGGCTGCTCCCATGTTGGGGGCATAGATATTTACAATTGTTAGATCTTCTTGTTGGATAGACCCTTTAAGAATGATATAGTGTCCTTCTGTGTCTCTTATTACAGACTTTAGTTTAAAATTTAATTTGTCTGATATAAGAATTGCTACCCCAGCTTTCTTTTGAGGTCCGCTGGCATGGAAGATGGATCTCCATCCCTTCACTTTCAGTCTGGATGTATCTTTAGGTTCAAAATGAGTCTCTTGTAGACAGCATATGGATGGGTCCTGTCTTTCTATCCAGTCTGCAACCCTGTGCCGTTTTATGGGAGCTTTTAGGCCATTCGCATTGAGGGTGATTATTGAAAGATATGAATTAATTGTCATCATGTTGCCTGTGAAGACATTGTTTTTATAGATTGTCCCTGTAAATTTCTGTTGTATATCACTCTTGGGGTCTTCTTTTATAGAACTCCCCTTAATATTTCTTGCAGGGCTGGCTTAGTGGTCACATACTCTTTCAGCTTCTGCCGGTCGTGGAAGCTCTGCATCTCTCCATCCATTCTAAATGAAAGCCTTGCCGGATAAAGTATTCTTGGCTGCATGTTCTTCTCATTTAGTACCCTGAATATGTCTTGCCAGGCCTTTCTGGCTTGCCAGGTCTCTGTGGATAGGTCTGACGTTATTCTGATGTTCCTCCCTCTGTACGTAAGGAATCTCTTCCCCCTAACTGCCCTTAAGATGGTTTCCTTGGTTCTAAGATTTGCAAGTTTTACTATTACATGCCAGGGTGTTGGCCTGTTTTCCTTGATCTTAGGAGGGGTCCTCTCTGCCTCTAGGACTCGAATGTTTGTTTCACTCCCCAGATTAGGGAAGTTCTCAGCTACGATTTGCTCAAATACATCTTCTAGTCCTCTCTCTCTCTCCACTCCCTCCGGGATTCCAATTATTCTGACATTGGAACACTTCATGGTGTCACTTATTTCTCTGATTCTATTTTCATGGATTCTGAGTTGTTTCTCCCTGGCCTCCTCTTTTCCCTTTTTATCTATTATATTGTCTTCCAGGTCGCTTATTCTCTCTTCTGTCTCATTTACCCTAGCTGTTAGATTATCTAGATTGGATTGGATCTCATTGATAGCATTTTTAAGTTCTGCCAATTCACCTTTTATTTCTGCCCTTAGAGACTCTATGTTGCCATTAATTGATTTCTCCATTCTAGCCATTGTCTTCACAATTGCTAGCCTTAATAACATCTCCGACATCTTGGTTATATCTGCATCCATTTGTAAATCTGCAGCATAAGTCATAATCTCTGAGTCTTTTCTGTTTGGGGGGCTCCTCCTCCTAGTCATTCTGTTGATGGGTGTTTGAGGGAATGTATAGAGTCCAAATTATTGACCAGAACCCAAGCAAGATGCACCTGTTTTCTTGGGACCTTAGGGTTGCTGGCCTCTTGTTTTCCCAGGCTGTCTTCTGCAGGAGGGGCCTGCCGCGCTGTTACTCAGGCAGCCCTGTTTGGGCGGAGTTGCCCTGCACCCCTGTGGCGGGGGATGGGCTCAGTGGGAATCAGTCTTTGGGGCTTTTGTTCTCTGGCGCCTTCCCCTGGCGGCTTTCCGCATCTCTTCCGCGAGTCAGAGCAGAAGAGACCCGTTTCCAACCCTCTGCCTCAGAGCAGAGACCGCAGTCTGTTCTTCAGTGAGCCCTCCAGGCCACACTGTCTCCATTTCTGTCCGTGCTGCTATAAACTGCAGCGGCCTGGGTTGTGCGCCCCTCGCAGCGCTCCCAGTCCTGCCTTCAGTCGGGGCACGTCTCTGCCCTTTGTGCTTCCAAAACCTCCAGCCGCTCCCCGTTCCCAAGCGTGCGTGACTCCACCCCCCCAGGTGTCCGCCCCCGGGGCTGCAGTTCACCGGCGCAACCCTGGCACTCCAGGTTTCAGTCCCCCGGGGGCTGCAGTTCGTGTGCGTGCGACTCTGTCACTCTGGGTTTCTGTCCCGCGGGGGCTGCAGTTCACCGGCACAACACTGCTGCCCCGGGTTTCCATCCAGGGGGCTGCAGTTCATGTGCACGCGACTGTGCCGCTCTGGGTTTCCACGCCGGGGCTGCCCTAAAGTCCTTTACCCGACACTGCCGGTCTGCAAGTCTGTGCCCCGTCCGCAGCACACGAGGCTGTCACTCACCAGCGGTGCAGGATCCCCACGGCCAGGCACCCTCCCGCTGCCCTTTATCCTCTGATATCTGCCCGCAGGATCACGGCTCCCCGCTTCGTACCTCAAAACCAACTGCCTGCGATATTGTTTGTAGAGATCCAGATCTTCTTACATCTCAGGCTGGTTTCGTGGGTGCTCAGAGTGGTCTGGTAGATATCCAGCTCAATTCCGGGGACCAGCTGAAATAGGGTCCCCTACTCCTCCGCCATCTTTCCCCCTCTCCTGATGCTACCTTTTAAAATTGTTTTTCTGTAATAGGACTTCTGCAACTTGGCTTTCAATTGGTCCCAGAAAGTCTAGGACTGGCCTTGATGCTAAGATGAATATGAAGAATTTATTGGTGCAGCAACTTATATTTCAGCTTATATACATATTACCTCATTTAGGTCTTATTTTTGAACTTTCTTGAAAGGTAAAGAAGTGGAAAGAGGGCTAGTTGTACAATAGCATGTAGATTGTTTAATCTTAAGCTGTTTTCTATTTGGTTGATCTTTTTTTTTTTGTCTCAGGTTGTTGTAGAGTAAGTATGATGTCATTTAGCATATAGTAACTGAAATCGTAATAAACAGAGATATATATCTTTATGCTTTGGCTGCTTTTGTTTCTTTTTACAAGTTCCAGAGTTCTTGTCCTCCCAAACCTTCTTTGAAATAGCCCTAGTAAAGTTGAATTAGGAACTTCTCTTATGGTAGAGTAAAAAAACCAGGATGAAGATACAGGATTATATAGTTATTAATCACCCACAATATTTTGTTCACTGTTATACATTCTTTGTTATTTTTAAACAAATTGGCTTTCCTAAGTATGAGTAAAATAAAGATAATTTTGTAACAAGATTGATTTTATGTAAATGTGCTGTACATCTTAGTTTTGATGATGTGGTTTAAGGATGAAGTTAGGTGGTTACTTGTTAAATTTTATTTGAAATTCCTCCTTTTCTGAAATACTGAATATTCAGATTCCTTCAACTTGTAGTATCAGTTCAACTTTGTCAACAAAAGTATTTTGTTGACCAAAACATAATTTTCTTTTACAGGATTCAAATACGATCATTGAAAGATTCCCCACAATTGGTCAACTCTTGGCAAGAACTTGCTGGAATCCTTTTATCTTAGCATTTGGTAAGAATTCAAAACGTGTCTTCTCAAAATACAAACTTCTAATGATAATTTTAATCTTTGCATTGTTTAACAAAATACAGAGCTTCAAATTACAAATTTTGTCCCATTGTTTACAAAACAACTATTAAGATTTATTCATTGTTCCATTAGAAAGATGGCATCCTTTTCTTGTCCATATATGTTCATATAGATAATCTCACATACACGTACATACACACACCCATACACATGCAGATCTGTAAGAAAACAGAACTTGTATTATAGAGTAGACTCTTCCAGATGATTATCATAACCTCATTTTTAATTCAGCGTGAAATGGTGATAATAATGAAATAATTTCTTGTTTCACAATTTCATGTTAACTCACATTTTCCATGTGTAAAATCATTCTTCAGTGTCTGAATCCTCCCAAGGCCCTGACATTATTTAGGGGTGACATTGTGGTTTTACCCAAGGTGAAGAGGAATTTGGGGACACTTTGGGGGTAGATGTTCCTTTCTTGACCTCCTGCCTACCTGTCTAGCCTCATTTCCTGTGTAATTCTCCACGGGCACACCACACACATGATAGCCAGGTCGAGTTACAGTGACTTGAACGTACATGATGTCAGGACCTGTGACATGTGATTCCTTTGCCTGGAGCTCTGTTTTCATCTCCTGTCCTCTTAAACTTTCTTTGGAATAGTTTTGCTGGGGCTGAGTTAGGAACTTCTCTTAGTGTCTCCATAGCTGATCGCATCTCCCTTAATTATAGCACTTACTGCACTGTTTTGTAATTGTTGGTTTGCCTGTCTGATGTCCTGGAGGACTGAATGCCTCTCAAGAGCAGGAACTGTGGTTTTAGTTCTTTTTGTTGTCCTAGGGCCAAGTGTAGGGGAAGCAGACACATCGGAAGGTGTACCGTTGAGGTTTATTGCCTTGACTTGGCTGTATTTTTAGCTAGTGTAATATTTACTTGATGATAGTTTTGCAGGATAGGTAATTATGGATTAGGGCAAGGAAATCACTTTCCCCATAATGTAAAACTGATAAAAGCCAGGATCCCACCCCTCTAAAGCCTGCATTTTTGTAATGATCCATCCTGTGTATCACATCATTGTGGTTGAAGTGGTCCAGTTCTGGCTTTAACACCAGCCAGCCTCACGTGAATGTATATATTTACTGGACAGGTATTTACTAAGCTTTTTTTTTTTTTTTTTTTTTAATATGTGAGGCCTAGGAAAACATGGCTACAATTTCTCTCACTGGAAGCATCCAGTCACAGAAAAAAGAGACCTCAGCAGATCAGCCTGACTCAGAACAGGGAGCTGAGAGAGAAAGGAGAGTTTTTCAGGGGAGGTCGAGCTGAGGCCGACTCTTAGGAAACAGTAGATGATTCAGGACTTTCTGAGACAAGTCACCAGACTTGCGTGGTTTCAGATCCCTTATTTGTAAAAGGGCTGGACTGATTTATCCCTAGGGCCTTAAACTTGTATCTGTCTGTGATCTTTCCTTTGCACCTATCCCCATTACATTGGCCCCCTCTGACAACCAGAAACAAATCCTTCATCTCTTTTTGTTTCTGTGCCTCTGTTATGTTTCGAACTGCCTGTTAAATTTCACCTTCCTGTTTGAGGAGTGCCTTGGGTTCTGAGCTTAGTGGAGACTGACAGACAACAGAACTCCATGATGAATCAAGTCTTGCCTGCGTTGCTACTGTTGTTTTGCTAGTTGGGTACTTTTGTCCAGGAAAGGGTCCTTTCTTATGGTTTTATAATAGCAAAATAACTTTTTAAATACAGGAAAGGTGAGTTTCCATCAAAGAAAGAAGTTAAGTCTCTCATAATGTTAAGTGAGAATTGGATCAGAAATAAGGATAATAAAAAAGGAGGAAAGATTCAGAAAGGAAAAGACACCATGTAGAGGAGAGAAAAAACTGATAATGGAAAAGGAGGGAACACCTTTTATTCAGGGGTGTTCTCTGCATAAACTTATCACTTTCACCTTCTTGGAATTCTTACTGGTTGTTTTGAGCTATGCTCTCATGATTAAATATAACAGCTATAACCTCACTATTTGCTATTTATTGCTATATAAAATTTGCCCCCAAACTTGGCAGCTTAAAATAATAAATATTTATTGTCTTAAAAAATGCTGCTTTCACACTTTTAAATTATAGATGAAGGAATTTTAAAAGAATGTTATTTTTTTTTTAAGATTTTATTTATTTGAGAGAGAGAGAATGAGAGACAGAGAGCATGAAAGACAGGAGGGTCAGAGGGAGAAGCAGACTCCCCGCCGAGCAGGGAGCCTGATGTGGGACTTGATCCCAGGACTCCAGGATCATGACCTGAGCCGAAGGCAGTCGCTTAACCAACTGAGCCACCCAGGTGACCCGAATTTTAAAGAATTAATTTAGCTTTCATTTGGAATTTTAGTTCAGGATACCAAAAAAAATATTAGGTGGCAAATATATGCTGGTATATTCTTTTCCCTTCCACTCATTTTTAGAATCCAAATTTTCACGAAGATCTGCTGGCAGTGACTGCTTGCATGATGAACCCCAGGCGTTTTCCCATCTCACTTAACTGCCCTGCAGGATGTCCACTCTGAATCTAGGGGTCTCAGGGAGGAGCCTGACAGAAGCCTTCTGCCCTGCAGTGAGTGTTGGTGGCACTCATGAATAACAAGTGATGGCTTGCATCTGTAAATCCCTAAAGCAAAATAAGTTCATTAACAGTACATTTCAGTGCATTTCAGTACATTGACTCTGGGCAAAGGAAGGCACCTCCCAAAGGTTGGGTGAACATTTGTCTGGCTGCTCTCTGTTTTTATTTTTGTTTTGTTTTGAGAGAAAAATTTGAAAAATGATATACTTGTTGAACTAAGTGTGCATATTCACTCAACACCTGGGGAAAATTTCCATCTTTTAGATGACTTAAGTTTTCTAACAGGGGAAGCTGCTTGTGTAATAAGCATATCATTGGAAGTGTCTGACACTCTGTGACATGAAGATAGTTAGAATTGCTTCTAATATTTAAAGCATAGGAAGTACAACAGTCAAATTTTTAATCAGTGGCATTGGTTAAACCTGAAGAATCCTAGGATCTTCGGAGGTTAAATGACATGATTCATGAAATTAACCTATAATAGGCAAGCCAGTGATACATTTGAGCTCATAAAAAGTAGGAAAAAAATCAATGTCCCTCAAAATAATACCAGATGAAGTTTGTTTAGAGGTGTTATTAGGGGAGTATAAACTTAGGACGTTTATGGGGGAAAAAAGGGTTTAATAAACAATTACTATTAGTGTTCTTTGGTGTATGGTTGAAAATGCAGGGGTAGCTTACTGCAGTTTATATTTTTCTTATTTCTTGTTACCGTAGCTCTTAGAAATGCTGTGTTTATGAGACCGTAGAAGATGAGAGGGTAAAGGGCATCAGGTGATTCTGCAGAGGATTGATTCCAGGTGCTGGGCTTCCTCAGCCACCACTCCATGGTCTTCGGATGAAGGCCACGGTTGCTTGGCTCTCGTGTAGGTACTGACATCTTCAGTTTTAGGCATCCTTCTTGCTTCTCAGTTGTGTTGTAAAATCTCCAACTGGAATGGACTCATTTACCAAACGAGGAAAAAGAAAATGGCTCACCGAGTAGATATTCTTGCCAAGTATAAGATTTCAAAGTTCAGTGTTTTCATCACATATTTGGTAAAGTTTTAAATTTTAGAGTAAAGAATGAGGAACATGTAAGAGGCTTCTATTTTATCCAAACCATTTAGTACTAAACAGAATATATTTTAAAACGATCCTTTTGTTAATTTTGTTTTTAACAAGTGAGGGTGTTTTGGGAAACTAGAAAATTAAAAGATTAAGACTAATATTGACTACTGCCTATAACAGTTATATTGCTTTTAAAAGGTTGAAATTACTAGCAGTTTGAAATATACTTTAAGAGAACTGATCTTGAGAAAAGTGCAGTTCTTTTAGTTATTTCTATCATTCTCTTTTGGCTTTAAAAATTGTTGCTGTGTCAGGGACACCTGGGTGGCTCAGTCATTAAGCGTCTGCCTTCGGCTCAAGTCATGATTCCAGGTCCTGGGATCGAGCCCTGCATCGGGCTCCCTGCTCGGTGGGAGGCCTGCTTCTCCCTCTCCCACTCCCACTGCTTGTGTTCCCTCTCTCGCTGTGTCTCTCTCTGTCAAATAAATAAATAAAATCTTAAAAAAAAAAAAAAAATTTGTTGCTGTGTCAGAAAGGTAATTGACCACACAAGGGCTAAGCATAAGTGATCCCAAAACCACAAGAATAAAAAACCCCACGAAGTTTCACACATGGTTCTGGCTGCTTGTTCTGTGAATTTAATAGTTTGAGATTTTCCTAAAATATAATACATGTATTTCCTTTAAATACAGTGTTTAAAAAATTTGTATACTGATTATCTTTTCTATTTGATAAAACCTACTTATTTTAGTTTTCCTTTTTGCAGATGAAAGCCAAAAAATTCTAACATGGTGCTTATGTTGTTTGATTAATAAAGAACCACAGAATTCTGAAGAATCGAAACTTAACTCCTGGACACGGGTAAGAGTAAATCTTGCCCTGCACTGCTTTGCGTTAAATTGATTTTTTAAAGGTGCTCCTTGGATAGTCCAGTTCTATGATGTTTTAGAAACTTTTTCAAATACAGTCTTTACTGTTCCATTATCTTGCTGGGTGTAAAGTTATTCAAGAGATTTCATTTTTGCTTGATTCTGAATTCCAGAAGATAGCAGTCTTTAGGGTGAACTTTTTCATGCCTGGAAGACCTCACGTTGTGTGATTTTGAAAAATTACTTTCAGGTAATGAAAAGAATGTTCTCTCTTTCCTTCTAGCGATTGTGATCCTTCAAAAAATTGTTTCTCCTTATCAACCTAGTTTAAATACTTACATAATTTCCGTCTAAGTATTTCTTTGCCTCTCTCAGGATCTAATCTGTAGTAAAATGAAAATTTAGAAGTGCCCTGGGAGCTGCTGTCTTTATTTTATATCCTCAAGTTGGTATCCAGGCCAGGGTGCTCAGACTAGCATCCGGTGCTCGTTGGCTGCTGCTTGCTGCTCACCGTCAAATCGGTTACTTGACTGTGCTAGGCTGGTTAGCTGACAGCGTCCTGCATTCCCCCCCACAGGAAGGACAGGCACAAGTTGGTGAATGTTGTAAGGCTGGGCTGTGGCTGCCCTCACCGCCAGCAAGTTGCTGTTCTTTTCTTATACCCGCCATTGTCCTGCTGTAATAACCCCAAGGACTCGCTGATGCTGGTCAGACTCCACTTAGTATGCATATGGTTCAGATTAGCTGCTTAGTATTATGAAATCACCCACCCAGATTAATGCATACAGTTTTGTCTATCAGTCTGACTGGTGATCTCATTCCATTCACTGCTTTTTACCATTACTTTGTTTTATACAAAATTGCTGACAGAGCTGACAAAGACAGTGTTTGTGTTTTTCTTTTAGATTTAAAAGAAAAATTGAAGGGACAGTAGAAATGAAAAGAATTGGGTGGGGGAAGGAAAGGGTGCAAACTTTACTGGAAGGTAAATTACTGTAAAGAGCTAAAGAAAGGAACTGATAAGTAGAATTAGGGAAGAAAAGGTATGAAAAACAAGCTTATAGAAATAGAATAACATATATAGTCTTTAATTTTTTTAAATTGTTGCTTTTGTTGAGTATTTGATGTTTTAATGATTACTTAGGATATATTTTTATATTGACTAGTTCATTAAGTCCTGAAATAAGGCATGTAATAAAGTGTTTTTAGGGTCACTGGGTCAACTTTCTTCGTTTAAACTCATGACTTTATTAGCCTATTTTAAAATTTCTAGCTTTGCATTTTATTCTGTGGATTTCCCTTATTTAATACTGCGTTCATTTATCAATAGGTACATATAAAGTATAGCACAGGAAGGTTAACTTAAAATCTTAACTCCTGCCATCAGGGAATTCACTAGTAACTAGAGCTATGTACAGGTGTGATGGTGATACAGAGGACACTTGCTCAGACTTGGGGGTTTGTAGATGAGTCCTGCAGGAGGTGATATACCAGCTGAGTTTTGAAGGGTGACTAGGAGAGCAGGGATAGAGCTTTAGGAAGGATATTCCTGTCAGCAAAAAGAGCTTGCGCAAAGATGATTGGAGAGAGCCCATGCCCTTTTCAGGGAACTGCAGGTACTTAGATAATGTTTGAGCTTGGGATTTTGGACGGCTGGTAATGAAGCATGAAGCCTAATGTATAATTATAAGAAGTTTTTGGGACGCCTGGGTGGCTCAGTCGGTTAGGAGTCTGCCTTCGGCTCAGGTCATGATCCTGAGGTCCTGGGATAGAGTCCCGCGTTGGGCTCCTTGCTCAGCGGGGAGCCTGCTTCTCCCTCTGCCTGCCGCTCCCCCTGCTTGTGCTCTCTCTCTGACAAATAAAATCTTAAAAAAAAATAAAGAAGTTTTTATTTTATTTTGAAGGCAGTGGGGAAGCCAAAGTATTTTAAACAGAGAAGTCATTTGGCCAGGTGTGAGTTTTAGAAACTTAACAGCAAAAGGAAGTTGATTTGGAAGGGAGCAGGGATAGCACTTTGGAAGCTATTGTAGTGATGATGGTGAGAAATCATGCAGCCCTGAATGAAATGGAGAAAAGGGGCCAGACTTATGATATGAATAAGGTAAATATTCAAAAGATGTAATGGCAGGTTAAGTGCAGATGTACTTAGGTGTAGATGGAGTTGAGCATACTGTTCTTAGGAAAGTGAGCTGATTTACACATAGGAGGGCTGACAATCCTCAGGGCTTGGGAACAGTGGAGCCTTGGGTGAGGGTGAGATTGCCCAGGGAGGGCAGCTAGCATGGGGAGGGAAAAGAGCCTTGGGACAACCTTGGGAGACACTGGCATTTGAGGAGTGAGTGCAGGAATAAGCTACACTGCGGGTCAGAAACAGAGAGTCAAAGGTGTAGAAGGAGAAAACCAGCAGCATTTCAAGAAGGAATGAGTGGTCATTCATATCTAATGCTATAGTGCAGGACTGTCCAACACAAATCAAATACATATTACATAGATAATTTAAATTTTCCAGTAGCTGCTTTAAGAGACAAAAAGAAATAAGTGAAATTAATTTTAATAATATTTTATGCAACCCAGTATATCCAAAATACTATCATTTTAACATATAATCAATATAAAAGTTATTAATGAGATTACTTTATAATTTCTTTTCATACTAAGTCATTGAAATCCAGTGTGTATGTTACATTTACATTTTGTATCTACATGTTACATCTTAATTCAGATGCTAAATTTTCACTGGAAGTTCTTGCTCTGTATTTCAATTTCATAAAATTTGCAGTTGAAAAAGTAGGCTCACATACCCAAATTGTTACAAAGAAACTTATAACTGAACAAAGTGTCAGTTTTTAAACTGAAATTTAATTAAAATTTTTAAAAATTAAAAACTTACTATCTTCATCGTACTCAGTCCATTTGAAGTGCTCAGTAGCCCCGTGTGGCTAGTGGCCACTGTAGTGGACAGGGCCGCTCTAGAGCATGAAGCAAGATAAGGACCGAAAAGCAGTGCTTGGATTTAGCCACTTAGGAGGAATCACCTTGGTGAGGCTAGGTTGAGTGGGAGGTGTGAGAAATAGCCAGATTTTACAGTTCACGGAATGTGATTGAAACAGCCTGAGTCAAAAACTACTAATTTCCTCCATAAATTCTAAAATTCAATAAAAATTCAGATTATTAAATTTGAAAATGTTGGACTGAGTTGTATGAGTTGTATTCTTAGAACTGAGATGAAATAAAATTTTTGTTTGCTGGCCATATGTTAGCGTATGTTAATATGTTGGAAATACATTAATACAGTGTGTTTTTGTTTCTGTTTTTGAAGTTTTACTGGTAACCTCAAATGTCTCATCAAATAACCACCTCAGTGACTATTCTTACAGTTTAGAGATTTGTTGAAGTCACAGAACTCTTTCACCTCTTTTCGGAATACTTGGTCCTTGAAAAACTTGGTTTTACTGGTGAATCAACTGAACGGATACTTTTTGAGCACCTACTGTTTGTCAGGCCCTACACCAGAGGCTGAGGATATAGCAGTGGATCTAAAGATAGTCTGTTCTGAGAGGTTATAATCCAGGAGGAGATACCAGGCCTGCCAAATTTAGGAGATACCTGTCTTCTCTGGGCAAGACCATACCTCTATGAATTTTATTCTGATGCGAAGAAAACAACAGAATACCAGGTGCAGAGATCAGTGAAAAGGGTTTTACTTCATCTTTATTCCCTTTCAAAATGCAGTGCTAAGTAATATCCAAGTGTTACATGTATTGCTTTAGTCCTCTACTTCATTCTTCTTAAAAAAACAAACGACTTTTAAATTATACAGAATCTAACAAACATACAGAAAAGTGTATCAAGCATGAATGACAAGCTTAAATTATTACAAAATAATTTGCAGTTATTTTTGTAACTACCATTGTAACTATCACCTAGGTCAGGAAGTAGAACAGAGCATTACCTGCCTCCTCTAAGCTCTCTGCCCCCAGATGCCTCTTCCTGCTTACATGCTCCTTTGTCTCCCTCTGGTAGTAACCACTAGGCTGGCTTTTATTTACATTGCTTTATGGTTTTACCACTTAATTATGCAGTTTGGCTTATTATTTTCACTTGATATAAATGAAATAATACACTATTGTTTTGTGTTTAATTTATTTTGTTCAGAATTGTTTGTGGTATTCAACCATGATCTTAGATGTTGTGGTTGGCCCATGTTCATTTTCATTGCTGTATAGCACTCCATTTTATTAATGTATCACAGTTTATTTATCCACTCTGCCTTTGATGGGAATTTGTTTCTGGTTGGGGAGAAGTAGGAACAGAGTTGCTGTAACATTCTCTCCTGCGTATCCAGGATTCAAAGCATATATTTTATAAAGAACTACAAAGGAAAAGAAGAGCAACGGGAGAGTAAGAGAATGTGTTTTAGTGTTTAAACAAGTGTTTACAAACACTTGTGAACAAGCCTTGCACATGCCCTGTTTTGTGAAAATAAAGAGCATTCTAAAAAAGAGGGAATTACAGGTTATTTTATATGCGTATCTTTAATTGTATCAGCTCATACTAAGTTGCTTTCCACAGTGGTGGTACCAGTTTAAATTCCTATGATCAGTGTATAAGAGTTCCATAGCCTCCTGGTTACTTGGCATTGTCAGACTTTTAAAGTTCAGTTCTTCTGGTGGATGTGTGTGGTAGTATCCATTATGGTTTTAATATTTCCCTGAAGTTGAGCACCTGTTTTGTGGCATTCCTGTTCATGTTTCTTAATTAATTTTCTACTTGGCTGTCTCTCTTATTGATTTGTAGAAATTCTTTATATGTACTGAATCTGGGCACCTTTTTTTTTTTTAAGATTTTATTTATTTATTTGAGAGAGTGCATGCAGAGGGAGAACAGGGAACCTGATGTGGGGCTTGATCCCAGGACTCCAGGATCTTGACCTGAACCGAAGGCAGACACTTAACTAACTGAGCCACCCAGGTGCCCTGGGTACGATTTTAT